CAATGGTCATTGGATAAACATATGGATGATAATGGAATAGTTTAGGTTAGATGGGCTTCAGATTGGTTTCACAGGTCGGCGCAACATCGAGGGCCGAAGGGCCTGTACCGCGCTGTAATGTTTTATGTTCTATGTTCTATGTTCTGGAACAACTGTGTCCAGCTCTGGTCGCCCCCCACCTTGTCATAGGAAGGATATTATTAAACTGGAGAGGGTTCGGGAGAGATTTACCAGGATGTGCCGGGAATGGAGGGAGTGAGTTATAAGGAGAGGCTGGATAGACTGGGACTTTTTTCACTGGAGCGGAGGTTGAGAGGCGACCTGATAGAAGTTTATTAAATAATGAGGGGTAAAGATAGGGTTAATGGTAGTTGTCTTTTCCCTAGAATGGAGGATTTCAAGACTAGGAGGCACATTTGGGTGAGAGGAGAAAGATTCAAAAAGCAACATAAGAGGCAAATCTTTTTGCACAGAGGGTGGTTGGCGTGTGTGGAATGAGCTTCCTGAGGAAGTGGTGGGTGTGGGTACAGTTACAATGTCTAAAAGGACATTTAGGTAAGTACATGGACAGGAAAAGGTTTGAAGGGACATGGGCCAGGAGCAGGCAGGTGTGGGACTGGTTTAGTTTGGGATTAGGGTCGGCACGGACTCGTTGGGCCGAAGGGTCTGCTTCTGTGCTGCGCGACTCTACGGCCATTCAAGCCTCAGCAAAATTTCTCATAACGAAATGCTGAAGTGTGCCCAGACTCAGTGGGTTTGAAATGCCCCTGTCGTTCAACATATTAAAGAACTCGCAGTAACTCTCTGAAACTGAGAGGACGGGTTCAGGACGGCTCATCCACCAGAGTTGACACAAAAAAAAAAATCCGCTGGAAAAATCTCAGCAGGTATAGCAGCGTTTGTGGAGAGAAAGCAGACTTAACGTCTCGGGTCCGGTGACCCTTCTTCAGCTTCTGAAACGTTAACTCTGATTTCTCTCCAGGGAGGCTGCCAGAACTGCTGAGCTTTTCCAGCAATCTCTGTTTTTGATTCTGACTTCCGGCATCATTAATTTACCAAAATTCCAATTTTCCCGCACATTTAAGGTGAGCAAATCTTATCCAGAGTTAAAGAGTCTTTCGCATATTAAAATAGCACTTGGCAGTTTGGAGGGTTTGAGCCACAGGGAGAGGGGGTGACCTTACAGAGGTTTATAAAACCATGAGGGGCATGGATAGGGTGAATAGACGAGGTCTTTTCTCCCAGGGGTATGAGGGAGTCCATAACTAGAGGGGCATAGGTTTAAGGTGAGAGGGGGAAAAGGGACCTGAGGGGGTAACTTTTTCACACAGAGGGTGGTGCGTGTGTGGAACGAGCTGCCAGAGGAAGTGGGTGGGGGCTGGTACAATGACAACATTTAAAAGGCATCTGGATGGGGACATGGATAGGAAGGGGTTAGAGGGATATGGGGCCAAATGCAGGCAAATGGGACTGGATTAATTTAGGATATCTGGGTCGGCACGGACGAGTTGGGCCGCAGGGTCTGTTTCAGCGTCATACAACCCTTTGACTCTACGATTCTGAAGTTCATTCTGACCAGAAAATGAAATTCCAAACATGCTAATTCATCCATAAAGATCCTGAACTTTTTTTTTCAAATTCGTTTGCGGGACGTGGGTGTCTTTGGCTGGGCCCAGCATTTATCACCCCGTCCCTCTAGTTGCCCCCCACCCCACCAGCTTGAGAAGGTTGGGGGGAAGGTGAGCTGCCTTCTTGAACTGCTGCAGCCCTCCTGCTGTGGGTTGACCCCCGCTAAGGGAGGGAATTCCAGGGATTCTGACCCAGCCACAGTGAGGGAACGGCGGTATATTTCCAAGTCGGGACGGGGAGTGGCTGAGAGGGGGAACTTGTGGAGGGGGTGGGGTTGGGGTGAGGTTCCCATGTATCTGCTGCCCCTTGTCCTTCTGGATTGAAGTGGGTGGTGGGTTTGGAAGGTGCTGTGTGAGGATCCATGGTGAATTTCTGCTGTGCATCTTGTAGAAGGTACGCGCTGCTGATAGTTAAACAATTTAATTAAACAGTTATTCACGAGTCTTTCCTCAGAGTAAACACAAGACAGGTAAAATGGCACTTTAAGGAAAACCAAGTAAGTTATGTTGTTTGCCCTATAATTTTTTTTCCGGTCACCTGGCTTCATTTGAGGAGGTGAAGTTTTAACAAGCTTTCCAGAAAGAAATTCCAAATCAACATTTCATAACAGACCTTTAATGTGCATGACCACTGACCAGTCCCATTAAAGGGACATCACTGAGACCATAAGTCTTTCAAATTGATAAAAAGACACACAGCACACTTTCATATCGCCATACGTTCCCAAGATATGAACTGGACGTCACATTGAGGACGTTGGTGAGGCCTCTTCTGGAGCAACTGTGTCCAGCTCTGGTCGCCCCGTTATTAAACTGGAGAGGGTTCAGAAAAGATTTACCAGGATGTGGCCAGGAACGGAGTGTTGGGGGACAAGCTGGGATTTTTTTCACTGGAGCGTCGGAGGCTGAGGGGATGACCTTATAGGGGTTTATAAAATAATGAGGGGCATGGATAGGGTTAATGGTGGGTGTCTTTTTCCCTAGGGTGGGGGAATTTCAAGACTGGGGTGGGCACATTTTTAAGGTGAGAGGAGAAGGATTTAAAAAGGACATGCAGGGTAACTTTTTTTTAAATAAAAACGCAGAGGGTGGTCCATGTGTGGAATGAGCTACCTGAGGAAGCGGTGGGTGTGGGTACAGTTACAACGTTTAAAAGGGCATTTGGATAAGTACATGGACAGGAAAGGTTTGGAGGGACAAGGGCCAGGAGCAGGTGGGTGTGGAACTGGTTTAGTTTGGGATTATGGGTCAGCACAGACTGGATGGGCCGAAGGGTCTGTCTCCATGCCATACAACTCTATGACTTAATGACTAATGAATAAAAATGGAAACAAACCAGGCCACAAAGAGCTAACAATCTATTCAAGGATCGTAGCACAGAAAGCTGGTTTGTCCATCTCTTTCTCTCCTGCAGCTTACGAACACATTCTTCCGATCTCAGTCCTTAACTTTCTTCTTATCGTAGCGAGACCGAGATGTACAAATCAAATTTTTCACAGTCTGTAAACAGTAGCTATAGCACGCAGTCACAATAAGGGAGTTTTATGCCCTTGCGTCTTTAGCAGAGTCGAAAGCGCGCTCCTGTTGGCGTCGATGGTGCTGAGTTGGTGGCGGTCGAGAGTTTCAGGTTCCTGGGAGTGAGGATCACCAACAATTTGCCCTGGTTCACCCACTATGGGTCAGGGTAGCACAACGACGCCTCATGGGTCCACAGGAGGCTAAGGAAGTTCGGCATGTCCACAAAGACTCACACCAATGTTTATAGGTGCACCGCAGAAAGCATCCTGCCCTGATGCATCACAGCGTGGTCTGGCAACAGCTCTGTCCAAGACCTCAGGAAACTACACAGAGTTGTAGCCTTCCATCCATTGACTCCATCTACACTTCGCGCTGCCTAGGGGAAGCAGCCAAGACCCCTCCGACCCCCGGATACAGTCTCTTCCAACGGGCAGGAGGTACAAAAGCTTAAACACAGATATCAACAGATTCAAGAACTGCTCCTACCCTCCCCCCACTCTTACTGACAGACCTCTTGCGCATTAGAGTTGATCTCTCTCTCTCTCTGCACCTTCTCTGTAGCTGTAACGCTGTATTCTGCATTCTGTTCTGTTACCCTATGATGTATGTGAGTCATAGAGTCACACAGCACAGAAACAGAACTTTTGGTCCAGAGAGAGTGTGTGAAAGAGAGGCAGAGAGAGGGAGAGAGAGAGAGAGAGAGTGTGCATGTGTGAGAATGAGAGAGAGAGAGAGAGGCACTGAGAGTGACAATGAGAGACAGAGAGAGAGAAACCGAAGAGAGAGACAAAGGGAGAGACACACACACACTGAGAAAGACAGTCAAAGAGAGAGACAGAGAGATGGAGAACAGTGAGAAACAGGATGAGACAGCAAAACACCAAGTCAGAGGGAGACAGAGAGAGAGTCAAACTAATAGAGAGAGAGGTGGAGAGATAGAGAAATAAAGAAAGAGAGTCAGAGACATACAGAGACGCATAGGGAGAGACAGGGAGCGACCTAAAGGGGGGGAGGGAGAGAGAGAGATAGATAGAGACAAAGCGACAGACGGAGAGACAGACGGATAAAGAGACAGACAGACAGACAGATACAGAGACATAGGAAGAGAGAGATAGAAAGAGACAGCGAAAGAGAGACACATTCAGTGTGAGAGAGAGAGAAACAGACAGACAGATACACAGAGAGATAGAGAGAGAGAGAGACAGACAGACACAGAGACATAGAGAGAGAGAGAGGCAGTGAAAGGGACACATTTGGTGAGAGACACGGTTTGGACGGGGACGGGGACGGGGACGGGGGGTGAAGACGAGACAGGCCGCCTATCGCCTCCGGTCCCCGCAGCACCCCAGGGAGCAGGGCAGCCGGAGCACCCCGCGGTAGGCATCGCGGAACTGCCGGTTCATGATGGCGTAGAGCACCGGGTTGGCGCAGCTGTTCAGCCAGGTGATGTTGCCGGCCAGGGTGCGGACTACATGGGGCAGCGCCCTGTGGAAGAGGTTGGCCAGGCAGAACGGCAGGTAACACGCCAGGTAGACCAGGAACACGGCAAAACACATAGTGGTCACCCTGCTCGCCTCCGACTCCCTGGGCCCCCTCCTCGTCGTCCTCCTCCTACTCCATTTGCTCATGGTCCGGCCCTTGACCCTCCTTCCAGACCCGGTGGCAACACTCCCCGAATCCCCCTCCTCCTCCTCCCGCTCCAACTCCGCATCCTCCGAGACCCTGGACCTGCTCCCCGTCTCCCGCTGGGAGCTGGAGGCCTCCGCGGGCCCGGGGACCCCGTAGCTGCGCGCCGCCCTCCCGGTCGACTTGACCTTGCGGTAGATGAGCAGGTAGAAGACGCCGATGGACGCCAGGCCGAGCCCGAAGGTGAGGATGTGCAGGACGGTGGTGGCGAGCCGGACCCGCCCCGGGTGGATGCTGCAGGAGCAGACGGAAGGCAGGAAGTCGAAGACGCCCCAGAAGGGCACCAGAAGGGCCAGCGACACCAGCCAGGGGGCCCCCAGGAACAGGGGAATGGCCCACCAGCGACCGGAGACCCTCTGGAAACACCGGGGGCTGGAGACCAGGGCGTAGCGGGCGGCGGCGATCAGCGTCAGGTTGAGGATGGAGACCAGGTTGGAGGTGAACACCAGGAGCCCGAACACCCTGCAGCCGGTCCGGCCCTGGGACCACCTGGCCCTCAGGTAGGTCTCCACGTTGAGGGGCTGCAGGAAGCCACAGTACAGCAGGTCGGACACGGTCAGGTTCAGGATCAGCAGGTTGAAGCGCGTCCGGAGCCGGGGCTCCGAAGCGAAAGCCAGGATGGTCAGCAAGTTGCCCACGCCGCCCACCGCCGTCACCAGGACCCCCAGGGACGCCCCGAAGTAGCGGTATTCGCTCAGGGACGGGTGGCAGCTCCAGTTGGTGGTGTTGCAGGTCTCCCCGACGCAGCTCAGTCCCGGGGACATTCTTCCTTCTCTCTCTCTCCTTCTCCCCGCTCCGAAAAACGAACTGAGAAAGAGGAAGGAAAGGGAGGTCAGACCTTGCGACACACACAGGGCAGGAAGGTTCCCCCCCACCCACACACACACACACACACACACACAGGGCAGGAAGGGTCCCACACACACACACACACACACAGGGCAGGAAGGGTCCCACACACACACACACACACACACACACACACACACACACAGGGCAGGAAGGGTCCCACACACACACAGGGCAGGAAGGGTCCCACACACACACACACACACAGGGCAGGAAGGGTCCCACACACACACACAGGGCAGGAAGGGTCCCACACACACACACACACACACACAGGGCAGGAAGGTTCCCCCCCACCCACACACACACACACACACACACACA